AGGACAAAACACCAAATGGGAGATCATGCTACAGGTGTGGGAAAACCCCTGCGCATGGTAAAGGACAATGCCCAGCAAAAGATGCAACATGTCACTCATGTGGTAAAAGAGGACACTTCAGTAAAGTGTGGAAATCTGTTAAATCTGTGCATGTGATAGAAACAGAGAAAAGTGATGATACACCCGTGTTTCTTGGTTCTGTAGACGCAGGTTCAGATCCTTGGTATGCAGATCTCACTATCAGAAACCACAAAGTTAGATTTAAGATAGACACAGGAGCTGACGTCTCTGTTATCCCAGCCCAGATGTATTACTGCATAAACCAAAATGAGACAGAGTTATGTAAACCAGATAGATCATTGTTTGGTCCAGGGGGTACTCCACTTGATGTGTTGGGTATGAGCAGAGAAACAATTTGCAAAGGTGAACAGGGAATACAGGAAAATGTGTACATTATCAAAGATTTGCACATAGCACTGTTAAGCAGGCCAGCAAGTGTCAAGCTGAACCTTGTGTGTAGAGCTGACAGTATTGACATGAATGTGTTGAATGAGAACTACCCAAAGCTGTGTCAGGGATTAGGTTTAATGCAACAACCTTATACGATTAAGTTGAAACCCAATGCTGTGCCTTTTTCCCTGGCCACACCAAGACGGGTCCCCATCCCTTTGTTAGGAAAGGTGAAACAGGAACTGGAAAGAATGGAGTCCATGGGAGTAATCAGCAGAGTTGAAGAACCAACAGAATGGTGTGCAGGTATGGTCCCAGTGCCAACAAAAAACGACTCTGTGCGTATTTGTGTTGACCTCACTCACCTCAATGAAGCAGCGTGCAGAGAAAAGTACATCCTGCCTTCGGTTGAACAGACACTTGGATCCCTGGCGGGAGCAAAAGTCTTCAGTAAGTTAGACGCAAACAGAGGCTTCTGGCAGGTTCCATTGTCACCAGAGTCAGCACACTACACAACGTTCATTACATCCTTTGGGCGCTTCCACTTTAACAGACTTCCCTTTGGAATAGCGTCAGCCCCAGAACATTTTCAGCGTAGAATGTCAGTGATCCTTAATGGGCTGGCAGGGTTGTCAAAAAACCACAAACACTGGACTTGTGAAAATAAACAAAACAAAAAAGATAAACATGGGTTTAAAAGTAAAGGAAAAAAGGTTGAAGAGAAAGAAAAGTTTCTATGAAAGGTTCTAAATGTTCTTGTAAGTTTGATGTTTTCAGCGAAAGGAGGATGTGGTGTAATCTGTTTGAGCATAACCTGTTTTATTGTGAAAGGGGGTTCTGAAACAGGAAGTAGACAATAAAGGTCGGAGTTTGAGTGCTCTACAAGGTGTCGCTTGAATCCTTGCCTAAAACCACGACAATTTTCTGACCACTTTTTGAACTTGTGGAATCAGATTAAGTAAACTTTTGTTGACATCGAAGTCGTAAGAAAGCATTGGGTTGATTTGTGGTTTATGATTTAGCACAAAATAAACACATATTTTTTAAAGAATCAAGTTGGAAGTGCGTTCTGACACAAACCACCTGTTGCCACCTTCAGCCTTTTACTGGAGTACTTTTTGTTTTGACACTTAAAAGGCCGTGACAGGCAGTAAAGTGTCTGTGTGCGGTTTGTCTCACAGTGCAGCAGAGCTTGGATTTGACAGGGAGAGAAAAGAAAGAGAGCTAAGTTCACTCAGACATGCAGGAAGACAGGAGAGGACAGGAAGAAGAGAGCTTAGTGTTAAAGGTGTGCTGAGCCACTACACAGTGTCCCCTCACCTGCTAATCCTCACTTTAACCTCCAACTGTTGTCATTGTTGTGACGTGGGCAGACCGTGGGGATATGGGGAATGAGGACCTAGGCGCGGTGCTCTGTGTATAAACAGTGCGTTTATTTACAGTGATGGAAAAACATGACAATGAATCCCGTGCTCTCCCGGCCTGATCAGCTGCAAGTGTGTCAAGGTCTTCAGGTGTGGCCAAGGGCCACACCCACACACACACCCCTACATGCACATACGTCTACAAGCAGGGAGAAGGAGGGACAGCAATACAAAATACATACATTATAATATTAGTCCATAACTGCTCAGGGTCCCTGGGTCTGAGCGACCCTGGGACCCTGAAAATTGTAGTTTTTAGGTGTGGAGGCAAAGTCGCCCGCTAACATGTGGAGAGAGAAAACAGGTGTTTTTAAAATTCTCTTTCACTACTTGTGTCCTACAGATTTAAACTAAGTACACTCATTAGAATGAGAAAGTTCTAAATAACTTTGAATACATTTTATATTGTCATGTGCTAATATTATTATGTCAATACAACAAAAGGTTCAGTTACCTTCGTACAAAAACTGTTCATAGAGCTACTTTATACTTTCTTACTTTGGTACATTTCACAGCTTTTGAGTAAAAAACTTGGAGTATTTTAACCCACGTATCTGTACTTCTGTTTGAGTAAAGAAAGTCTGTACGTTTGCCGCCTCTGGTTAAAACCGATGAGTTATGAAATTTAGGCTACGTCCACGGGTATTTTTGAAAACGCAGATTTTTCTATGCGTTTGCATCCTTCGTCCACACGTAAACGGCGTTTTCGGTCACTGAAAACGGAGATTTCTAAAAACGCCTGCCAGGGTGGATATTTTCTAAAACTCCGTTTTTGCATTTAAGTGTGGACGAGAAAAACGGAGAAAAAGCAGCGTCAAAGGTGTGCGCCTATTTTGACGTCACAGTGTGCGCCACGTTATTGTTTCGGTGAAATGGATTTCTACAATACTGTTACTGTTACTTGTACTCTCTGCAGTGTTTAAATGCTTACATACACACACACAGTTACCGTCCCTCCACACATACCACTCGGTTCTGCTTCTATGCCCCATCCTTGTTTACTTTTTCCCACCGAGGCTTCTAGTCTTCTGATTGGCCAACATTTCTACACGGTTAGGACTATAGCGCCACCTGCTGCTTTGGCATGTTCATAGCAGGGGCGGATCTAGAGAAATTTTCTTAGGGTGGCATGAGGGTGGCATTTTTTTTTTCAAACACATATGCAGGTGGTTACATATGGTTACATGATTCAAATGCAGTAAGTATGCACGTTTTTCATATAAATATAGTCGATAACTTAATTATTGTCTGTAGCCCACATAATTACACACTAGTTACATAAAACATGTGAGTTTTGATGCTATGTACTGTATAGCCTGTATGATAAATAAATATGTTGCCCAATAAGTATAAACTCCAGAAAGCTACACAACATGGGGCGCTTCATTTACAAACACAAGTCTAACTTGAGTTTCACTGTTTTTGTTAGAAAACAGTCACATTGTTGCAGCTTAAATTACACAAAATGTCAGAAATCTGCACCGTCATGAACAAACATGTAAACCTCATTTTTCATGATTTGTTGGATGTACCCTCTGAGGTCTGAAATACAACCGGCCATTTGTGACTCCTTTTGAGTTTACGTTTGTATTTCACCCTCAGATTGTTTCATTTTATTTTTTCCCCCGTTGCCTTGTTTGGTGTCTTTTAAGCTCAACTGAATTTAGTTGTTTTTTTCACTGACATACTGCATTAGTGTTACTGATCTGAAACCACACAAAGAACTTAAGATCCTAGTAGTATTTTTTACTGTAAAAAAAAAAAACAGTAAATTTTTATAACTTGAAATGCAAATATAAAACGTACATTTTGTAAACATAAACAACTATTTATCTAAAAATGCAGCCGATACACCTGCTGTTTTTCATTTTGTACAACCATTTAAAAATCTTACTAAAACTAAAATGAGAGAACAATCAGGTGTGGCAATAAGATGCCCCACAAATGATGTGTGCCAGTAAAAACAAGTTTGTCCACCAAAAGACAGAAGAGCACAGGGACAAACCTGCAGGCCCGACAACAGCAGGTGTATCACTGGTTTTCTACTTAGTGACAGTGTTTACAAATGTGCCTCTGTGACAGTCATTAGTGCCCTCACTGACACACAAAACAAAATGACTACACAACAGAACGACTACACAACACAACACACTAAGTAAACACTCCACACTAAACGTCACAAATCTGCCACATCTAAACTCTCGCTCTGTCTCTCTCACTTGCTCGCTCTGTCTCGCTCGCCCTGTTACCGTCACTCCCCAAACTTTTCCCTCTTCCTAAACAACCAAATCCCACATGTTGACTTTTTTTTAATTGGTCGACATGGTGCATTTTTCCACCAATAAGAAAGAGGTGGCTTTTTTCCTTTCTTTACTGTTTTCGCGCTGTCTTTAGAAAACGCTTAAAACACACACACACAAACGTGACGACAGTATTTAGAACGAAGCGTGGCTGATATATATGATCATAACTCTGGATTTACTGGCCTGTAATTAAAATTTAAAAACTTTGAAGTTGGAACTTTCAATGTGGGCTGAAATAGGCTGCAGCTTGTTGCTGTGTCAGCTTACATCAGTCACCAGTGAGCGCCTCCAGCGCAGACGGGCTCATAAGGCGCAGACGGGCCGGGGTGGTCGTGTTACTTCGGTAGCACATATACTAAAATTGGAACGATACAGAGAAGATTAGCATGGCCCCTGCGCAAGGATGACACGCAAATTCGTGAAGCGTTCCTCATTTTCTTTAGAACTAATTCGACTCTGAAATAGTTTGAGAGAGAAGGTTTATTAATGACGACAGATAAGCACAGCAGCTGTTCATGCAGTCTGAACACAGCACACGCCACGGACACGCTCCCAGTTTACAGGAGAACAGAATAATCCTTCAGTTGTCCCACAAGGGGAAATTTGGTTGTGTCAGCAGCAATAAAAACACACATATATGCAAAAAGAACAGGACACAGAACAAAAAACACAATTTTTACATATTTAAGCTGAGAAAAGCAATGTGAGGTTATAACAGTAGAAGCTGCTGCAGTGCTGATGTAAACCTCTATGATTGTTGGGTGACTACACAGAGGAAGAGGGTCGTCCTGTCATGATGCTTCTGTGTTTCCTCTGAAGGAGGTGTCAAGGAGGCGCTGCAGTGTCCTCCCAGGAAGCTGTAACCTTTTCTGGGCTGCAGTTGTCTGTGCGGCTGCAGGGGGCGCTGTGGAGCAGCTGTCAGGCTGCAGAACCTCAGGGGAAGACGGACGGCTACCTGCTCACGCTTTTTGTGCTTTTTTCGCTGGTTTAACGGATAAAAACGCCTCGGTCACCATGGCAACAGGCCGGCTGGTGGAGGTGTACCTGGACCTTCTATCGCAGCCCTGCCGGGCGGTGCACATCCTGCTCACCTGCACCAAAATCCCGCACAAAGTGCGCGCCGTGGCGCTGCGGAAAGGTGAGCTACTGACAGGCTGGTTAACCAACCAGCCGGTTAACTAACCGACTAGCCGAGCGGCTAACTAGTCCTCTGACGGCCTGCTCACCCGTGTACGCACTCGGCGCACTTAGAGCAGTTTGTGGGCACACAACTTCAGCTGAACTCCGACCCGAAGAACTTTGACCTACATCCGAGCGGTGCACAGAGCCCGCCAGACCTCACTCAAAATCTCCGGATTTATGCTCTCTCTGACCCCGTGAGAGGAAACTGCATCCGAACCGAGCTGATCCTCATAGAAAACGTCATGAGACTGGTCGGGGACATTCGGCGCTCTTAAACTCACCGAATGTCCGATTTTCACACAGTTTACATGTTTCGGAAACAAAAAATAACAACAGATCATTATTCTGGGAATCTTAAATCACTTGGTTTCCCATCGGAGTTCTGAATGAAGCTGCTGCTCAGACTTCTGTCTGCATTAGAGCGCACACGCTGCAGGCCGCTTTATATGACCTGAGTTTTGAGTGGACTTTGTTTTTAGCTTCTCTTGTGTGTGCAGGAGAACATCGGACTCCGACCTTCACCAAGCTGAACCCCATGCAGAAGGTTCCTGTCATGGTGGACGACGGCTTTGTCCTCACAGAGAGGTACACACACACACACACACAAAATTCAATTTTATTTACACAGCACCAAATCGCAACAACAGTCGCCTCAAGGTGCTTTATATTGTACAGTAGATCGTACAATAATACACACAGAGAAAAACCCAACAATCATATGACCCCCTATGAGCAGCACTTTGGCAACAGTGGGAAGGAAAAACTCCCTTTTAACAGGAAGAAACCTCCAGCAGAACCAGGCTCAGGGAGGGGCGGGGCCATCTGCTGTGATTGGTTGGGGTGAGAGAAGGAAGACAGGATAAAGACATGCTGTGGAAGAGAGACAGAGGTTAATAACAGATATGATTCAGTGCAGAGAGGTCTGTTAATACATAGTGAGTGAGAAAGGTGACTGGAAAGGAAACACCCAGTGCATCATGGGAATCCCCGGCAGCCTATGTCTATTGCAGCATAACTAAGGGAGGATTCAGGGTCACCTGGTCCAGCCCTAACTATATGCTTTAGCAAAAAGGAAAGTTTGAAGCCTAATCTTGAAAGTAGAGATAGTGTCTGTCTCCTGAATCCAAACTGGAAGCTGGTTCCACAGAAGAGGGGCCTGAAAACTGAAGGCTCTGCCTCCCATTCTACTTTTAAATACTCTAGGAACAACAAGTAGGCCTGCAGAGCGAGAGCGAAGTGCTCTAATAGGGTGATATGGTACTACAAGGTCATTAAGATAAGATGGGGCCTGATTATTTAAGACCTTGTATGTGAGGAGCAGGATTTTGAATTCTGGATTTAACAGGAAGCCAAAACAGGAGAAATCTGCTCTCTCTTTCTAGTCCCTGTCAGGACTCTTGCTGTATGGGCAGAAATCTGTGCCATCAGAAACTGAATTTGAATAAGTTCAGTTTGAATTTGAATTGTAACTTGAATAAATGCTTTTGAAAACTGAATTTGAATTAGTCTAATTTGAAATTGAATTTATATTTTGAAAATGAATTGATTTGCTTTGAAACTGCATTTTATCCTTTAAAAATTCAGCTCTGGAATAATTTCAGTTTCACTTCTCACCATTCAATTTCAGTTCCAAAATTCAGTTTTTTGGAACTTACATCCGGTTCCGGTTCAAGCACAGATTAATAGAACTACGTTTTACTAGCGGACCGAAAGTGTTACTGACGGGAATCTACAGCATCTTGAGCTGAATTAAGACTTCAGAAGTCATTCGTCATGTCGAATGACCAGCGGATAAACTCTCAGGTTGGTAATAAATGTATTACATGTATAAGAACAAGCGTCAAGTTAACAAATGATAGCCGTACAGTAACTTTTATGCTTATTGTAGCTGCTAGCTAAAAACGCTAATTTAGCGTAGTTTGCCTTGAATTCAGCTTTGACAAACAAATATATCACTTCAAACAGAGGTGATCCAGTAATGCTGCACTAATGAATTAGACTAACTACTCACTTTAGCTAAAGTTATTAAGTTAGCTAAAGTTGGGTTGCTGTGTAAGACATAAATAAAGCTAAAACACAAAGGTTTGGACACCGTTTTGCATGTTTCCCTTCTGTAGGGGTCTCTGCAAGCATACAGAGGGGCACTCTGAGAGGGTCCAAGATGACAACTTTGGAATTCTACTAGAAACAGTCGATCATATTTGTTGTCAAAGCTGAATTCAAGGCAAACTACGCTAAATTAGCGTTTTTAGCTAGCAGCTACAATAAGCATAAAAGTTACTGTACGGCTATCTTTTGTTAACATGACACTTGTTCTTATACATGTAATACATTTATTACCAACCTGAGAGTTTATCCGCTGGTCATTCGACATGACGAATAACTTCTGAAGTCTTAATTCAGCTCAAGACGCTGTAGATTCCCGTCAGTAACACTTTCGGTCCGCTAGTAAAACGTAGTTCTATTCATCTGCGCTTGAACCGGAACCGGATGTAAGTTCCAAAAAACTGAATTTTGGAACAGAAATTGAATGGTGAGAAGTGAAACTGAAATTATTCGAGAGCTGAATTTTTAAAGGATAAAATGCAGTTTCAAAGCAAATCAATTCATTTTCAAAATATAAAATTCAATTTCAATTTAGACTAATTCAAATTCAGTTTTCAAAAGCATTTATTCAAGTTACAATTCAGATTCAATCTGAGCAATTCAAATTGAACTTATTCAAATTCAGTTTCTGATGGCACAGATTTCTGCCCATATTGCTGCAGCATTTTGGATTAGCTGAAGGCTTTTCAGGGAGTTTTTAGGACTTCCTGATAATAATGAATTACAGTCGTCCAGCCTGGAAGTAATAAATGCATGAACTAGTTTTTCAGCTTCACTCTGAGACAGGATATTTCTAACTTCTCCTTCTCTCACCCCAACCAATCACAGCAGATGTCCCCGCCCCTCCCTGAGCCTGGTTCTGTCGGAGGTTTCTTCCTGTTAAAAGGGAGTTTTTCCTTCCCACTGTCGCCAAAGTGCTTGTTCATAGGGGGTCATATGGTTGTTGGGTTTTTCTCAGTGTCTATGAAGCGCCTTGAGGCGGCTTTTGTTGTGATTTGGCGCTATATAAATAAAATGGAATTGAATTAACTTTAGAGATTAAAACACACACACGCTCACTCATTTAAAGTGTGTTCCTGTGAGGCAGGACGGGTCACGTCGGAATCACATGCTCAGTGTAAACGTCAGGTTGTGTCATGTGTTGCAGCGACGCCATCCTGAAGTACCTCACCACCAAGTACGATGTCCCAGAGCACTGGTATCCACGGCAACCAGAGAGACGAGCCCGAGTGGACGAGTACACAGCGTGGCATCACACCAACACACGACCGCACGCTGCTAAAGTCTTCATCCTGGAGGTATGGAGCCAAAATCCTGATTTTGTAAAACACGTCTTCAAATATCTGAAATCAGCTGATCAGGAGACGGCAGCGTGGGGTTCTGTGATGACGCCGCACCTGTTCTGACATCATCAGGAATATAAAGCTGCTGTAATGCCATGAAGGAGCTCAGGTGTGCTTTGTGTCTCCGCCCACCTCAGGTGCTGCTCCCAGCTCAGTCTGGCTCTCCGGTGGATGAGGCCCGTTTGAATCGCGCTCTCTCCGACCTCGACGACACGCTGGATAAACTGGAGTCCATGTTTCTTCGCCGCCAGCCTTTCCTTTGCGGTGATGACATCACTGTGGCCGACCTGCTCGCGGCGTGCGAGCTCACGCAGGTCAGTTTCTGGATGCTCAAGCCCCGCCCCCCTCAGAGAAGCTTTTTGTCTCTTTGGGTATGTTCAGAGAGCTCGTCTCCAAACAGCTGCAGTGAAACTGAGACACAAACAGGAAATGGAGATGCTTCCCCTTCAAAGTAAAAGTTGTAATTCTGCACTGCTGCCAACAAAAGTGCAGCTTTTACTTTGAAAGCAGAGCATGTCTGTTTGTGTTGCACTTTTTAACTTGTCCCTGCCCCAGCGAGCAGTTACAGACATGATACTCTTGTGATGAGGAAGAGGATCAATAGGGGGTCCACGACCCTCTTAGGGACTCTCCAGTTGTTGTTCTTAGAACTGAAGAAGCTTCTCTGATTAAGTCCCAAAGCTTTTCTTTCTGAGCTCCTCAGACTACAATGAGCTGGATGTCTGAGAACCTTCACAGACTGAGTTCAGATTATTGCTTCTCTTCTCATGAAGGATGCTCCACTGTCTCCTCTGCTAAAGGAAGCACTGAAGCTCCTTTCCTTACTCTGAGGACTGACAGCTGATTAGAAACGCTCCCGAGAGGAGCGGGCACTCTGAACGTACCCTCTGTTTGTGTCTGTATGGTTCTGAGCATGCTCAGTGTGTCTCCTTGCAGCCTCTGGGCGGGGGCAGAGACGTCCTGAAGGAGCGTCCTCAGCTGCAGCGGTGGAGGAGTCGAGTCCAGTCGGCCGTCGGTGAGGCATTTGACGAAGCTCACAGCGTCCTGTATGCCCTCAGAGACCGCCGCCGAGCCCGTCTGTGACATCGGCATGAGGGGGAGGAGTTAGTCGAGGGTGTGAGGAGGATAAAGGAGTGGCTCAATTTCACTTTGATTTCTCTGCTTTAAAAACCTCAGAGGCCTTCGAGCCGTCACAGAGTTCCTGGACTCTGATCGATGACAGAATCAATAAATCTATCGATGAATCAATGTTGGAGTTCAATGTTTGAATCAGCTGAAGCACTTTAACAGGAAATGAGCTTTGAAATGAAAATAAAAAAAGCTGCTTGTACTTTGCCCCTTGAGTGTCTGTGACTGAGCGCCCCCCGCAGGCTGGAGGAGGAGCTGCGGCGCTGTAGGCGTGTTCAAACGAGCACATTAAAGAGACTCAGCAAAAATGTAAAAATCTTTATTAGAAAACTTTATTTACACCAGGTTCAGCAGCAGAGACATGTGACTACACAGAGGAAGAGGGCGGGCCTTGGCTCCGTTTGGCAGGATGTTGCTCCTCGCCATCTCCTTCTCGTCCTCGTTTCCTCAGGTGTCTTCCTGAGGTCGACTCCGCCTCCTGCAGGGGGAGGAGCTCAATGGATCAGGAGGCAGAGTCATGGTTGTACTGTGTGTGTGGTTGTGTATGTGTGGTTACCATGGCAGCAGCACCCCCCCCTCCCTCTGCAGACGGGTACATGAGCCTGTGCGCCGTCTCCAACATCTTCTGGTCCTGCAACCATCACAGAGTGAGCAGCCTACACTTCCCACAATGCACCTGAACATCTTTAACCCTCTTAAGACTTGCTGCTGTGGCGTCAGCTGTGCTGCAGACAGCCAACCGCCATCGTTGAGGGCGGAGTCACTACAAAAACACTGAACACAGCCTGGTGTGTGGTTATTTGGGTGGGGGGGGCGGGGCGTCAGGTGAGGCGTTACCTGTAGCCAGGGGTGCTGCAGAGCTTCCTCGATGCTCATCCTCTTCATCGGATCAACGACCAGCAGCTTCCTCACCACGTCTTTGGCTGAAACACAAACGGGTCATATGAGTCCAAACACAGGAAGCTCCGCCTTTCACCCTCAGGTTCCAAACAAGATGGAACCAAAACAGTGCTGTGCAAAAGTCCTGAGCCCCCCGACGCACTGTGGAACACGCAGTGACTCACTGACACACCTGAACACACCGTGAGCCTGACGGTGTGAGTGGCTCTCGTTTGCTCATTTCTAGAAAAATCTCAGCGAGCGCCCGACAGCGAGCCAGTCATCACTAACAGTATCGATAAAGTTCAACTGAAGCAGCTCGTACCTTGATCAGAGACGCTCGTCCACTTGGACTGAACCATGGTGAACTCTCCTCTGATGATCTGATCGGTGACCGACTGATGACCAAAGCTCTCGTGGAACGGAGGGTAACCTCCCAGGCTGACACGGGAGGAGAGAGAGGAGGACTCAGTGATGAAGCTGGAGTTTCAGCAAATCATCAAACGTTACATAGAAATTTTCACAGCTTTCAGGTGGAGATGTTTGACCTCTGACCCTGGCTGTTTCTCTGCGGCTTCCTCGACAGTCACACGCCTGCAGGAGCCAGGTGACATCGCCGCCGAAGTTCCATAAATGACTCGTAAACCACGAGTCATTTATGGAAACCGAGTCCTACAGGGATAAAAAGCGGACGCGTATTCTGCTTCTTCTTCGTTGGTGGTGTGAGCAGGCGTAGGACGCTGTGAACACCTCGGACAGCGACGCGTGCCGAGGTCTTGGGAATCAGCCGGTCGCTGCAGAAATGCCGTTTCTGTCAGACTCTGCCGCTGACAGCCAGCGTTTTCTGTCTGTATGTAATACGGATTCATCCCAGGGAGGAGCCTTTCTGAGGTCAAAGGTCAGGTGACCAGGGACTGAACATGGGTGTAAAAGCAGCCGATGCCCACGAGCACGTTTAACACTCTGGGGTCGACAGAGGTACCGGCGCGTCAAAAATCACACGACCAATTTAAGACGACACAGCAACCAGCGACCCAGAGTCTCGTTTCAACCTGGGTCGAAGGTGCGGACTTCAAACTTTATACCAGTTCTGATAGAGTCTGAATGGGTTATGATAAAAGTACACGCCACGTTTTTCTGAATAAAACTGTGTTTACAGCAGGAAGAACGGGCAGTGCTAGCAAACACTTCCCTATTGGTGTTACTGTGTACCATGTCAACCAATCAAAAAATGATATGGCAACATGTGGCACTTGGTTGTTTAGGAAGAGGGGGAAGTTTGAAGAGTGCGGTCAGTGTGTTGTGTTGTAATTGTTTTATTTAGAAATGTAAAATTTATTTTTGCACTTCAAGTTATGAAAATGATTCGTTAAACATGTTTGTGGGCTTTACAGAAAAAAATAAAGTTTTTCTACTCTGAAGTTTTTTTCGTCTGAATATAGATCAATTGTGCGATCGATGTCAATGGCTCCACGCAGGAAGTAGAAACAGACTCTGGCGTGCCGGCAGCGGCTCTGTTTTCATGTGCCGAGGGTAACCAGGCGGGCAAACGAGCGAGCGCACGAGTTGAGGCGGCGCGACAGGTGAATGAACGAAAGCGTTTCCCTGACAACACAAATCATCCATCATCACCCTGCAGCAGGAGGCCGGAGCCTACCAGACGAAGAGCAGCACGCCGAGGCTCCAGGCGTCCACGGCGAGCCCGTAACCTGTGGTGGACGCGTGCGTGAACACCTCCGGAGCCAGGTAAGATGGAGTCCCACACAGAGTCCTCATCAGCACCGCCTCCTCCAGGATCCGTGACTGGTTAAAGTCCGTCACCTGGCACACACACACACACACACACTCAGGAGGTGGTGATGCTGCAGGTGATGCTGCAGGTGAGCGCACGTACCTTGATGAGACACACATCGTCCTGTGAGGACAGCAGGATGTTCTCCGGCTTCAGGTCTCTGTGGATGATCCCGTTACTGTGGAGATACTACACACACACACACACACAGAGTTACAGTCGCTGCACCTGTGTGTGTTTGTGTGTGTGTGCGCGTGCTCGTTACCATAGCAACACCAGCTAACCTCCACAGCACGAAGCATCTGGTAAAAATAAAGTTTGGCAACAGATTCGTTGAGCTGCTGCTTCGACTTCACTCTGTGGAACAGCTCCCCCCCCTCCATCCTGACAGGTGAGAGAGAGACACAGGTGAGAGAGAGACACAGGTGAGAGAGAGACACAGGTGAGAGAGAGACACAGGTGAGAGAGAGACACAGGTGAGAGAGAGGCTGCGTCCACACTAGCGTTCACAGAGTTGTGCGTCCACATTGAAACGGCCAAAAACGCTTCCGTTCCAGTCCTGCACATGCGTGAAACGCAAGAAGATTCGACCTGCCTCATTTCTGTCTGCCGTTTATTTACGTTCCGGCTCGTTGACACGTCGGCAAAATGTGGAGGAAAAGCACCGAGTTTTTTAAATAGACTCACAATGAGGTGGAGTCGTTGCTGCAAGTAACACAAAAGTACAAAGTTGCAAAAGCGAGTGAGAATTAAAGAATTTGAAGAAAAGCTCTCAGGAGCATGTACAGGCTGATGTTGATCTTTAATAGGGCTGTCAAACAAAACAACTGCTGTGTAACGCCCTCCGCTATCTCAGTTTAATTGGTCACATGACTGCATCACATGACTATGTGATAAGCCTTCTTAATCTGTTTTACCAAGTTGAGGATGTAAGCACGCTCCTCCCGCAACACGCGGTCCATTTGGGCGTAGTCTGACACCACGATCTGGTTGTCCATATCAGTCTTGGGAGGGGACAGACAGAACTGAATAAGGCCAATTTTGGCCTTGTCCACTCGGGTCACACCAGTGTTGGCAACTCTTTGGAAATTCATTTTGGAAAAGCACCGTGTTCAAATGTATCCGTTTTCAAAACGCGGCGTTTTCCTTGAGCGAAAACGGCGTCTCAGTTTGGACGGGAGGCCAAAACGGAGAGAAAAAAACAAAAACGTATTAGTGTGGACGTGGCCTGAGAGACGGGTGAGAGAGACAGGTGCAGTTTCACGCACAGCTCCAACACGATGTAGAAACTTTCCTCCGTCTGATAGAAGTCCTCCGTCTTTATGAGACAAGGCTGCAGGAGACAAGGAGTGAAGAGAAGGAAAGGAAGGATGAGTGTTGTTACTGGCGATAAAGGAGCGTTCCTGTACTTGTGCTTTTTCTTCTTCGTTGGTGTTACTCACGTGGTCGACCCTCTGCAGGATGTCAATCTCCGTCTTTGCGTTTCGTGTCGCCGTCTGTGATTGGACAGAAAAATAAGTTGTTGTTCCCCTTCAACTCAAAATAAGGTTGAGACGCCATGTTTGTAGTTCTCTGGGAGGTATCTGTGTTTTCACACCTTGCTGACATTTCATTGGGTTAAACTGAGTTCAATTCAATACCTGATTGGCTGGCACCAGAAATATTTAAATTAAGCAGTGTACTGAGAGTTTCCCGCCCCCCTAGTGGTGATTTCATGCAGTGCACTGTTAGTTTGACAGAGAGGGGTGTCTGCATTTTTGACGCTATTAAAATTCATAAATGAACTGACACCATCACACCTGCTGACAAACACGCAGTCGAAAGAAACGAGCAGCGGGTCTCAGCCAATCAGAGAGCAGATGAGGCGACTCACCCCTTCAGACTGAAAGTTCTTCTTGTTTATGATTTTCACTGCAAACTTCCTGCAGGTGGATCGCTCGAAAGCCAGCCGGACCTCGCCACACACTCCTCTGAAACACACACAGTCAGCAGGGTGGCACAGGAAATGACATCACAACGCCACGAAACAACTCACGTGCCGATGCGTCGCGTCAGTAGGTATTTGTCTTGCAGGTCTCTGGGTAGGCTGGACTGATCGTCCGACATCAGGTCGATGAAGACAAAGACTGCAGAGAGACATGAGCAGGAGGTGAGACCGGCACCAGGGTGTCCAGGTGTTTTCAGGTGCTGTTCTTGTGGGCGGAGTCACCTCGGTTTCGTTGTTCAGCCAGAGAGATGACGGCGTTATTGACCAGAGGAAGCTTCTTGTCTTTCCCGATCGGAATCCCATCGAGAAAAGTGCCGTTATTACTGAGGTCCTCCACGAAGACCTCCGAGCCCTCCTGACACACACAGGTGGAGAGGGCGACGTTAAAGCCCCGTGAGCGCAGTACTCACAGTACGATCAGTGCTAATATCAGTGGTAGTAGTACTGCAGTAGTCTCACTCTGTAGATCCTGAAGTGTTTCTTGCTGTAGATTCGGAACTTTCTGGAATTTCGGTCATTTGGATCCTCCAGGACGTAGTTACACTTGGAGTCCCGTCCAAACAGGTACTGGTCCTCTATGCAGTCTGTAAACAAACAAACAGGAAACAGGAAGTGCTCCTCTATGCAGTCTGTAAACAAACAAACAGGAAACAGGAAGTGCTCCTCTATGCAGTCTGTAAACAAACAAACAGGAAACAGGAAGTGCTCCTCTATGCAGTCTGTAAACAAACAAACAGGAAACAGGAAGTGCTCCTCTATGCAGTCTTCTATCCCCCCGTGGAATTACAAAACCTGCAATTCTGGGATTTTATTTGGTTGCTAATTAGCAGCAGCAGCTAGCTCATCCTTTGGTCACTGCTTGAAACAGGAAGAGGTGTTAAAAAACCAGGATGCCACGTCCATCTTTTATCTACAGTCTAAAGATCTGTCACACCTGAAGCACTGTCTGCTGAACAGAAGTATCCTGATTACTTCATGTGTTATTTAAAGTATGGAACAGCAGAGCTCGGCTGGCTGATTATGCTAATTCTGCTGCTAATTCTACTAATTACTATTTCCAGACACAGCACAATATGTTCAGTTTAATGGAACCTGATTAAGAACAGAGTGAACAGAGGACGAGCCGGCGTGTTGTGAGCAGCGGTACCGTGGCTCCTGAAGCCCGGGACCATGGGCAGTAGGCGGCCCCAGGGTTGCGGCTCGGGCTCCTCTGGGACGGACGCGAGCGTTACGGGGATGGTGTCCACGCTGCTCAGAGTCCCCGAGCCACTCGACGACTGACTGGCTGAGCTGGGCCCACTGGATGAACTGGAACCAGGCTGGGACTGGGACTTGGCCTGGGACGGGGACAGGGTGGACTGGGTTTGGGACTGAGGACGCTCCCCCTCAGGAGTCCCCTTTTCAGACATCCTTCAGCTCTGCAGACACATGAGAGACAAAATCAAGAACAAGAGAAGAAGAGTTTGGGTTTCTGCCGCAGGATCGTGGACATCCGTGGGCTCGGAGCCCCAGAGCACACAGTGCAACATCCCCACGCCCCACTGTGGCAGCGTTCAAACACAGACCGCGTGTCCGAGACTCACACTCACCGTGAAACCGGAACCCCGCCGGTGCTGTCAGCATGCGCGCGCCTTCTCAGCGAGCTCTGCACTCAGCAGAGCCAGAACCAGCATCCGGGTCTCTGCGCGTCCACGAACCGCGACGCGTGCTTCGATTTCTTGACCGGGACCTTGCGGGACACGCGCTTCCTTGTGGGCTATTTTTTCTCTGACGTCACGAAGTGGTTCCAGCCAATGATAAGTGTGAATGTGGATCACGTGCACCGGGAGCCGTCGGCTGGTGTTTCCGGGTTTGGTTTGGTCCCGCAGAGGAGATTCAGAGGCTGATCGATAGTTATGATCGATACGTGAACGGAAGTCAGGGCGCGGAGCGAGCCACGTGTCTGTCTGCGAGTCCGACATGTCCAACCAGAGAGGCGGCAAGACTCTGATCATCACAGACGGTGAGTGTCCGGGGGGGAGGGGGTCTGCAGTCGCCATGTGAGCCTCCGTCACAGCTCCAGCTGTTCTGTGTGTGCAGATGAGGAGGTGGAGGCGGAGGAGCTCAACCCGTTCTCCTTCAGAGAGTTTCTGCGCTGGAAGAACCAGGACCCGGACCCGGAGCAGGCACGCACTGAGGTCAGAGCTGCACAGCTGCACAGCTGGAGGTGCACCTCTGTCCTAAGGCAGCGAGCACAAACACAGAGTGGGTCTGTGCTCACAGCTGTGACACGCGTGTACATGTGCATATTTAAAAGAGTGACACAAACTTCAAACCGCTGCGCTGTGGCGGTCGTGGATGTGATCGCTGTGGGCCGAGCGTGTAATCGGCTCACAGCTCAGACTCAAACCGTCCATCGGCCCCACGCTGAGTGTTCAGCCCACGTCATGCTGCTGTAACTGTTCTCATGAAACTGCAGAGGTGACCTGAGCTCAGCTGCTGTTTCTCAAAATCTGCAGAAAACAGCGTCTCCGTCACAAACACACGCGTGTCACAGCTGTGAGCACAGAACCACGCTGCCTGCTGGAGAAGGTCACCACCATCTCTTTGGTGTTGCTCATGTTCAGTTCAAGGTTAGGAAAATCCCAAAAAGCTGGTTGTGTTCATCTGGACGTTTTCAGTGGGAGTCTCATCATCAGGTGACTCCTTCGGTGTCAGCTGACTGCAGGTTCCAACCTTATAAACAGCACATCTGCATAACGACTGGCACAGCAGTATGGGCCCACTCTAACCCACTGATGAGTCCCACTCACAGAGGGTTGGGGAATGGCTGCAGTCACTGTAAGATGGTGACAGGTGTTCCCTTAGGCCCCTCCTCCATGCTTCGACATCAACAACCCACTGACAGGTGTCAGTATTTCCACGGCTGGACAGTTAAAAACAGTGTTTCTGCCGCTGCCACAGTGTAATCTGAAGTGTCCATCAAAAGGACCAATCACACCGGGAGCCTGTGCTTCTTTAGGCTCCGCCTACCCATAATAGCGTGAAACTAGCAGCGTGTTGGTTATGGAATATAATTTCGTACATTTCAGTTCAAATTCAATACCTGCGACTGATTCGCCGTTAACAACAAAGGCAGAAAACTTGATCAAATATCTGTTAACAGATGAAAACACAGTTTTCTCCTCTAAGCACACGGTCTGTCTATCATTAGTAGCTTACACAGGATGAGAACTTCAGCGCAGCATGCTTGAGTCTGTGTCCTCAGCACAGTCCAGGGGCCAGATGTTTGGTCCCCGTAAACACACTTGGCGCACAGCCTTAACCGTCTGCTCGGTGTAAACGTTGACGTACGTTTGGCTTCACAGCGACAAACAGACCAAAGCTCGTACGACCCGAGCCATGTTAGATATCGCTAACGTCACCTAACTTCGCCGAAGGTTAGCTGAGTTTAACATGTTTTCAGATTCTTCGTTATGCTAACATTCGTCCGTTTCTGGACCGCTTCCCTTCGACAGGCCGCCATTTTTTCCAAAACATTTCTTCAACCTCAGATTCGCAGTGAATCCTGGGATAGCGTGGACTACGAAGGATACACCCGACCCGCCTCACACAGCCTCTGTCTGTCTCATCAGGAGGAGGAGGAGGAGTGGGGGCGGAGCTTCCAGTCAGGCATTGGCAGCACCTCCTCCCTGTGCACAGAGGAGGAAGAAGAAGAGGAGGAGACCAGGTGAGTCAGATGAAGGGCGGGGCGTAAAAATGTCCGAGCAGCTTCTGTGCAGATGAAACTGCACCTGCCGTGAAGTCACCTTCACCTGTGTCACCAGGTTCTCCTCCAAACCTGAAGCAGCTGCAGGAGGAGGTGCAGTAGGAGGAGGAGAGAACTATGAAGGAGATGACGAGACCTCAATGGTTGAGCCAGCCACCTTCTGCAGGAGGAGGAGTGCCAAGAGCAGCCAGACGCAGCAGGTAACCCAACCACGGAGCGCTTAGTTCAGGGAGCGTGGGACAAAGCAGAACAGGCGTATTAACGAGCTCCTGTTCTGTGTCAGCTGAAGGAGGAGAACGCAGCACTGAGGAGGACCGTCAGGGAGCTGCAGAGGAGAGCCGAAGTGAACGAACGCAGGTTTGTACCAACCAATCACAGGACAGCGCCGCAATATGTCGCTGACCAATCATTTACCCAGCATGCCTCTGTCTCCCAGGGCGTCGCAGCTCTCGGAGGAGCTGCTGCAGAGGAGGCGTCAGGAAGAGAAGGAGGCCCAGGACCTGGAGAGCATGGTTCACTCTGTGGAGCAGAACCTCCACCTGATGACGGTACACACAAACACAGTGTTTGCATGAACGTGTGTGTGTGTGTGTGTGAGATTGTGTGTGTAAAAATACTCTACGTCTGTCCATGTTAGAGGCGAGCGGTGAAAGCGGAGAACGCCGTTTCCAAACTGAAGGCGGAGCTACAGCAGCTGCAGGTGAGATGGAGAATGAATCATTGATTATTGATAATCTGCTGGCTGTGTGTATCAGCGCGTGTGTGTGTGTGTGTGTTTGAGGCCGAGGTGGATTCTCTGCGGGCTGAGAACAACGGTCTGAAGTCGATGGAGTCTCAGGTCGTCATGACGATGAGGCAAAATGCTCAGGTGGCATCCGACTACCTGAACAAGATGGCGAGCCACGCCCACTCCTCCATCAGGTCAGTACCTGCAGACACATACAGCCATCAGCCACAACACCAAGCTGTTAATGCTGCTACTCTCTCCCTGTCACCTGTGTCTGTCTCACCTGTGTCTGTCTCACCTGTGTCTGTCTCACCTGTGTCTGTCACACCTGTGTCTGTCACACCTGTCTCTGCAGGCAGCTGCTGGGGGAAGCAGAGACTCTGCGTTTGGTGTCTCAGCTGCTGCAGTCCATCGATAAAATCTCCTCCCTGAACTCAGAGTCCTGAACTCCTTCGGACCTCCTGGTTGTCATGGAAACATCCAGGAGAGGTCTGTCTGTGAGATCAGAGGTCAGCAGGTATTTTATTTTGGAAGGCCCCAGCTATGCTGACTGCTGATTGGTGGACTGTGACTGTGTGAGGGCCGAGCATCATGTTGATTCATAAACTCTGTGATAGTAAAGCGCTCTGATGATCGGAGGTGTGCACCACAAAGACGACTTTTTGGCTGATCCGGGTGACTTCAGGGTTAACGTCGGTTTCCTGAAGGTGGCAGGCCAATCAGCTGTCCTGAACGTAGCGTCACCATTCCTGGAGGATCCCTCGGACCACTACGGGGAGAACGGGAGGGTCTGGGGGCTTCGTGCGCTGAGCTTCAATAGTCTTTTTTCCCCCTGTTGGCAGCAAGTTCAAGTTTATTTATATAGCACATCTGTTGACAAAAGTAGTCAAAGCAGAAAACATAAAATAGGATAAAACAAAGTTGAAGCGGTTTCATTGTTCTGTAAACATTCATGTATTCGTGCTGAGCTCGTGTCAGGTTTGTAATGTGGCACACGCCACCCCCCCAATGCGCAGATCAAATCCTGGGTTATCTTGGCAGGTTGTAACCGGCTGTATCCTGATCGCCAGCGTTAGTGTAACATAAGGTAAAGATGCCATCTTGTATGTCCCAGCTCCAAGGGGGCGTGTCAGAGTGTTTACCTGGATAAATAAGGATGTATGCGTGACTTTTTCCAAAACTGATTGCAGCTTCTACTTCGTATAAAACAGGGGAACATCCTCACCGCCCGTGCAGAAGTGCAGCTTTCGTATTTGTTGCGTCTCATCGAGAAAAACACGATTGGCTAAAGAGACAACCAGGAAACAAGAACAAGTAAATAAGAGAAAGCATGATGTCTGATACAGTCGATCAGACAGGTCATTACCCACATATACAAAACCAACTATGATACACAATATAAAACAGGTGACTGGGTGTGTGTCTGTCTGTGTGTGCCCTGTGGTAGACCCGTCCAGGGTGTACCCTGTACCCACAGGCACCTGGGAAAGTTTTAGCCCCACCCCCCGTGACCCTGACCTGGATGAGAGGAAGAGAATGGATGAAAAATATGAGCCACAGAAAACAGAACAGCAGATGAAGCCATGAGAAATACACAGAAAGCCTAAACTGAGCTGGCGTCGCTTCGAGGACTCCGATCGTTCGACTGACTCGGGACTGTTGACTCGTTTAAGCTAACTTACATCCTGCTGTAACCAGGCAGACCAACTAATATGTACCAACAGAGAGACCTGATGTTTAATAATGATTAAATAAAAATGTTCAATAATAAGAAATGGTGTGTTACTGCCACCTGCTGGTGTGGAGTGTGAACTGCAGCCAAACAGAGTCCAGGATGTAGCACTGAGTAAAAGTGAAATGGAAGAAAATGTTAGATGAACTGGAGCTCTGTGAGTTAGGACTGGTTTTAAATGAAGTTTACTTTATTTATTTAAGGTACTTAAAAGGATGAATGTCTGCTCGCTTTAGCTCATGGTACAGCCGCCTTCATATCAACATGCGTGTAAACGGTAAGTGTTGCTAGGCAATAGTTTTACATCCATTCCCAAGGAGTCAAAATGACGTCGGGCAGTTTTAGGTGGTCTTAATCTTTTTCTTTTGATCACACACAACTCAAAATTCCCTGTTTGATGAAAAAGTCCGTTTCAGGAAAAGTCATGAAAATGTTTTGTTTGAATTATAACAGAGTTATATGAATTTCAAAATGTCAGTGGATGGATATGGCGTGCCGGTGTTAACGGACGGCTTCGCTTCCTGCTTTTCGCCTGATCCGAGGTCTCGTTTTGTGCCTGATGTGGTGTGGAGGGTTTGTGGGGACGATCGAGAGTGTTCTCTCACTTTATATTGGGATTTTTATTTATTTATTTATTTTGCCTGTCCCGTTTGGCTCTTTTGCATCAGAATTGTTGTCTAAAGGCAAAGAAAGATGCCCAACGGATTTACTTTACCAAACTGACCATCCCAGCCTTGCCGTAATGGTCCATTTGATTCACCTTTTATTGTTTATTTTATTTTCACTTACTGAATACGGGACAGACTTGACTGGGGGAAAGAAGGGGAGAAAGAAAGATAAACAGCTGAGAAGAGGGACGGGGGAGAAGGGCAAAAAACAAAAACCAACAGAATGAGCAGGAAAAAAAATGCATATATCAATCACCTGGATCACCTGCTGAGAAAGAAAAAGAAAGCAAGCAGAAGAGAACAAGAGTAATAGAATAAACAACATCACAATGATATATGGGAATATGACAGTAAATACTAAATATTAAACATTATTGTGCAGCACATAAGATCAACAGAACACAGTGTGCTTTGAGGTAGGAGCCAAAAAGGGTGTAGTTTGTGGGTGTGATCACCCGTGTGTACACCTGTGAGCATGGACGCGCTTGTTTTTAAAAGGTTCCTTCATGTAATGATCTGCTAGAGGGTGTGGGGGGGCCACAGCCCCGTCCTCCAGGGCATGAAGCAGGTGTGGAGGAGATCAAAACTCCAGACATCCAGAGGCCCCCAGAACACAAGAGACCAAGGAAGACCAACAGAGGGTGAAGCTTTGACACATGAAAAGTAGAGCTGGGCGATTTTTTTCATATCACGATATGTTTTTTTCATTTCAGGCGATAACGATATCTATCACGATATCAGCCAAATAACTATATTTGTAAGATTTAAATGTGCCGTTGCTCACACGTAAAATGTGAAATAATCAGCAGCTTGTTTTGATTTAAATATTTATTTCTCATAATAAGTTCAACAGGGTAGATGTACTTAAGGAACATGAGACTTTTTCAGATAAATAAAGGCAAATATTGCAAACTACACAAAAGGCAGCCGCTAAAGCGTTTAAGTTTCAAAACAGAACAAACAAAACAGACTAAACTGTCAATTCCACTTAGAAACAAAATATTAATTCTAAAAATAAATCTTACTTTGTTTTACAGAAGATCAGACAAAACTGACTAACTTTTGTCAATATCAAATAAACTGAGAACTAAAAGGAAATTCTCGACCTCTCCTTGTTGTATAGCTGAGCTTTTCAAACAGCTGTAACAGTTACTAGTCTGACAAAAGCCGAATGACGAATCAGCGCTTCCAGTCAGAGACTGAGCTGCACCGCTTTATTGTATTTCCAGACTTGCTTTCGGCACATTTACAGTGCAGCTGCTCTGTTTTTGTCAGACTTGAAATAGCAGAAATACCTTCACACTACGGAGCTTCTGTGGCTCTTCCGTTCGACAATCTCTCCGGCGTTGGAACCATCGTCTGTTTTCTCCTCGGTAACCTTCGGTCGCGCTCTCGGCACACTCATTTGCTCCGTTACCCGGCGGCACGGCGGCTGGCTGCTTCCCAAACAAATACACATGTGCGGCTTGGCACTTGTGCTGTACGCAACAAGTCACGTGACGTGACACTGCGGCTGTGATTGGTTCGGCTCTGCGCTACTTAATTTGGATTGGCTGGGTTTTTTTTTTAAGAGGACAAGAGCGGTGAGGTCTATCGCAATAGTTTAACTTTTCTATCGAGAAAAAGTTATTTCACAATACATATCGTTATCGTTCTATCGCCCAGCTCTAATGAAAGGCTGTGACTTTATTGAAACAGAGCCAATCAAACAGATTGATTGGAGTGATGATAGGATCGATAATCGCTGCTGGAGTCAAACCTCAGAGATCACAGGGATTGAAGAAAATCAGGATGCTTGAGTCTGGTTTCTGCTCAGAGTGAGCATGCTCAGCTCTGTTACCATGACAACCATGGCAGCTCTCACTGGCACAGCCTTTTTATACTCTTCTTCACAGCTTCTGGGTGGACTAGCACACTGCGAGCCTGGACTGAGTGGACCCCGTTTGTCCTCGGCCTGAGACGGACACACTTTGCTGATGTGGGACTTTCTGGGATTCTGCATCAAACAGAGTTTTAAAGCGATATCGTGACAGAAATGTGAACTTCCAACAGGAAACACTGACAGAACTCCAATAAGCTGTAATAATAGGAGTCAGAGCTGTTAATGTGAATGGAGCCAGGGTCTATAATCCCATTAAAATACAGATCAAAGTGCTGTGAGTAGGATTAAAGCTTCAGTCAGATCCTAAAAACACTGGAAAGTACTAAACTAAGATGGGTGTAGATCCCGTATGCTGAGGGAGGAGTCGTACCGTGCAGACGGTGTCTGATTGGCTGAGAGCTGCTGACCTCACAGAAATGCAGCCTTTATATACCCGACACTGATCATGTGACCCGAAGGATTCTTAGGAAAAAGTGAGCGTATGACTCGGTACCCTGACCCACTCGTCACTTTCCACAGAACTCATGCTGACTTCCTGCCACAGCTAACCACCACAAGAAACACCATATTTATACACCAGTGCACCAAATCACAGGCTGTTTCCACATAAGACTGAAAGTCCCAGCCAGGAGACCATCCTGGTATCAGGTTAACGCACACCTGTCCCACAGGCTCCACGCTGAAAATTTACCCACAATGCATTTTCCCTCTAAGTCAAAGACATCAAACTGTGATATGTGCCCTCATACTGATGATCACTGCATCAACAACACTGTGAGTTTTGCAGTGGGTGTTACAGTGTTTGTAGTTTTTCAGCCCTGAAAGTTTTCTGGACTTATGAAGTAAAGAAAATCATTCAAAAGGGTCAAATTTGTAGTTTTAACTCATTTATGTGGAAAACCTTCATTTAAAATGTAAATCTTTGTTTGGCAGACACACTGACCCCGAGGTCATGTGGCTCACTGGCTTCACATCAAACCTGCAGAGTCCAGCTTATCATCATCGCAGTACGTGTGAGGAAGTGTTGGAGTTGGTGCATAGCGGACGCCTTCGGTGGACTCCGCCTCTCGCCCTCGCAGAGCCAGGATAGGCTCCAGAATTTGTGCATACGTTCATTTTTGTATTTCAAGAAAATGATTCATTAAACGTGTTGGTGGGTTTAAAAATATAAAGAATAAACCTTTCTTCTCTAATTTTATGATTTTGTCAGATTTTAGGATAATCCTTTAATTGTCCCACAAGGAGAAATTTGGTTGTAACAGCAGCCAAAAAGACACATATACAAACAAACAGGACACAGAGCAGAAACATACACAATTTTTCTTACATATTTACATTAAGGACAATCGTTACTATAAACAGAGTACTGTACAGTTATTAAATTAAATTAAATAACTACAGGTAAGAGGCAAACCAGGTTGTAGTGCGAATCGGTTAATTAACTTATTGCAGTTACAGCACAGATGTAAACATCTGTGTTTGTTGGGAGCAGTTCTGATTGTGCAGTCTGACAGCTGCAGGGAGGAAGGACCTGTGGAAACGCTCCTTCATGCATCGAGGATGCATCAGCCTGTCACTGCAGGAGCTCTGCAGTTCAACAACATCTACATGCATGGGCTGGGAGACTCTGTCCATCGGAGATGTTATTTTGGCCAGAGTCCTTCTGTCTCCCACCCCTGCACTGGGTCCAGGGTGCATCCCAGAACAGAGCATTTTAGATCAAAATGTGAGCGTAGGCTCCCCGTGGTGCGTCACATCTCTGGCCCCCGAGCCTTATGTTTGGCTTGTCTGAGGGCTGCAGTTCACACTCCGCGCCAGCCGGTGGCGGTAACGCACCGTGTCGTTGTTTTCCATCCACCAATAAATTTCGAGCAGCCGGGGTGGTGGGCGCTGATTGGTCGGCGGACCGGACTCGCGGCTTCTCATCAGATCAGTCTTCAATAATCAGTCATGATCCGAGCTCCACGTGCGCCTGAGACGTGGACCGGGACCCGACGGGACGCTCCACGCGGACGTGTCCGCGGGGCGACCAGGTGAGCCGTAGGGTTCCCAGGACCCACTTCCGGTGTTTCTGTGTGTTTTATTTCTCTGCTCGTGTTGGTGAATATTCTGCAGATTTAAATGATGTAAGTCAGGACATGCGTGACGTCATTCACAGACTCGGCGCTACATCATAAATAATCCTTCCGGTCGCTTTAGTGTCGTTGTGTAAGTGTGGCGTTTATGTCTCAGTGACCGTGCGTGGATCTACAACAGCTGCTGTGCGGCTCCGCCTGTGGTCCACGGTCACCGCGTCCCACCCTGCTGTCTGCTGCTAACACCTGGGTGTATTTGACACACTCGTGTTTTAGTTTCTTTTTCTCTGTCACATAGAGCAGGGCAGATAAAATATTTATCACCATATACATTTGAAAATGTGCGATAACGATATAACTGACGATATAATTGACACTTTATTAGTGCAAAACCATCAATGTATGTTCACTTAATCAACCAGCTGTTTTTTATCTGCATTAAAGTTATATAAACATTTAACAGTGCAAATTGCTCGCTAACAGTTTAACCAAAAGGCATTTCCAGTGGAAACCGGCCGACATATCCTCAGCATAACCATGTACAACATCCACAAACCTTAAAAAGAGGCTCTACACACACAATACAGTAATAGACCCTGTGCACGAGACAATGCTAACTTCCTGGTTTGAGACCGGATGTGGGGTTGTACATTTCCGGTAGCTTTACTTTGCGGTCAATCGCTACTGCGAAGATATATCCTCCACAATCATGTCCAAAACTGGAAAACGGAAAGATGGCGTTAAGTTACAAAGAGAAGGTGGGAACACTCACCGCTGCTGTGTCATAAAAAATCTAATGATCAGTTTAAAGAGTTTAGATCGATCAGCTGTTTACATCACTCAACACAAGCAGAGCTGCATCGCTGCAGCAGAAGACACATCGTCCACATTCACATCTCTGTGTAGTGACTGGTCTCATGATTCAAACAGGCAAATGTTCAGCATTCAAACTACAGGTGAAGAACAGTCAAACCAGATGTTTCCCCCGTTATGTCGAGATCAGCTCGTCAAGTACACACCTACACCTCCTTCTTGAGCTCTCAGCGAAGGCGGTCGCACTTTCTCCTCTCCTCCTCACCCTTATCTTCCCTGCTTCGCCTCTATGTCCTTGTCTTGTCTTGTGTGAATTTACTTTCCCTGGAACAGTCTCTCACTGTCGTTCTCTAAACCTAAAAGAGAATTATGGATTTGATCAAAAGACTGACAACACCACGGAACAGAAGTTTGATACCATCATGGGGAGGCTCGCAGCTCTTCAACGGGAGATCGAGAGACCAGCCTCAGAGTGCTAGAATTCGAGCTGCTTACAAAGGAGAAATCAACAATATTCAACATTTGGACACCACGGCGCCAGCTGCAGGCCCAAGGCTGGAGCCCACCAAAACAACTCCCTGATAACGACTGTGTGATGACTATTCTTCCCGCCCCATGAAGGACACCTGGATTGGCTGGAGGACTGTTTACTTAGCCTGATAGGCCGAAGGACACTGTCTCAGCTAAACTATGGACACACACACACACACACTTACACTGACAAGCACTCACTCATCCCCCTCCCTTTCCAACGCCTTCGATGCTTGTGCCCTACCGGGGATGATAGCAGTCAACTGGACCAGCACAGATGCTGCAGGACCGGATGCGCTGTCTACGCCGGCTCTCTCTTACCCTTTACCCGCCCCTGTTGCTTGTCTCGTGTTTCTATGGTGTATTGATAGTCATGTGCTTTTGTGCTGAGGTGTTTTTTCTTTTATCAAACTGTTCTTCCACCAGGAGCTCAGTCTGAGTGGAGTTTTTTTCTCCTCCTCTTACCTCATGTAGTGTATTTTCGTTGTTTTTTTCCTATCAGCCTACCTTCTGACATGTCTGCCCAATGTGATGTTTGTGTAAAGTTGGTCAGAAGGTTCCTTTGTGAGTGCGCATGCGCCATTAGCGTGCTGCCTGCTGTAACCCTAATTTCCCTCGGGATGAATAAAGTATTCTGATTCTGATACACAGCATGTTAACAAACCGTGAAAAAAGCCACACAAAAAACGAATGACTGCTGGTAACGGTTTCTATACATTAGTATGTACGAAGGGTATGTTGTGACTTACCTTCAAAATTACAGCGGTCCCTCGCTATAACGCGGTTCACCTTTCACCTCGCTGTTTCAGATTTTTTAGTGCAAGTTTGCTTATTTTTACGTCACATTGTGTCCTGCGTCCTGATCGCTGCAGACGATCTCCTCCGTCTCTCCTGTACAGTCCAGAATCGCTGCATCGATGCTAGCAGTGTGACTCTGCAGTGCAGTGCTGTATGTCCACGATGTCTACCAAACGTTTTGCACCGTCAAAAATAAAATCGGCTCCTTGATTTCACCTCTCGCTGGTTATTTTTAGAACATAACACCCGCGATAAACGAGGGACCGCTGAGAAATATAACATTTGAATCCTTTTCTCTTTTGCTCTGAGGCGCGGGGGAAAATATCGACAAGTCGATGAACATCATTTACAGATATGTTGGGTAAATGCCCGAGACATCTATAGAAATGTAAATCGCCACTTGATTCATTTGCTTAACTTGTTTTGGACCGTAAACCAGGCGCGAATAGGACACCGGAAACACAGCTCCCCACAGGAGTTTCCACACCGGAAGTAGCATATGCTAACGTGCACATAGTCTATATTATGTTGAAGCACACTACGTATCACTCCGCGAGGCTCCGCCTACGATAGCCGTAACGCTCCAACAATCCATCAAGCGGTGCGGCTTCGTAGCTCAGCAAAGTCGTACTGAAACATTTGACAGATTTTCGAGCGCCGTGCACATAAAATCGTTTCGAGGTCAGTAAACACAACCAGAGTTCATACATAAGGCACACGGGATTATAAGGGGCTCTGTCGACTTTTCAGATTTTAAGTGCGCCGTATTTTCCAAACAACACGGTAATAACGGCGGCCCGCTAGCATGCTCCACCAAAAATAGTGCTTTGTTGTGTATCTGACGGACGAAAGCTAAACCAGTTCCACACCAGTGAAGCTGCAGCATTTTTACAAACCAGTTCTGGTTCATCCGTTTCATTCAACGATCCACTTTCGTCCTCCTCATTCTGCGTCGCCGCCATGATTTTTCCGCTGTGTGCGTATGAAAACAAAGGCACTGCGCATGCACGTTTTACCCATATTCTATCGCCATGTTTCATTTTCCTATCATTGCCCAACATGACACCGGTGCTACCGTGAGCGGTATGATAAGATAAGATAACCTTTATTAGTCCCACACGTGGGAAATTTGTTTTGTCACAGCAGGAAGTGGACAGTGCAAAAGTTATGAAGCAAAAATTAGAATACAATAAGAATAAATACTGTACAGAATAGAATAAATACTATATACATTAGAATAAAATAGAATAAAATATACAATAAGATAAAAATAGAATACAAATGCTATACAACTGAGTAAAAATACGATGCCAGAAAAGTATTGCACATGTGTGGATGTGTTTGATCAGTTAAAGTCTTTATTATGGAGTCTGACAGCAGTGGGGAGGAAAGACCTGCGAAATCTCTCCGTCCCACACCGTGGGTGCCGCAGTCTCCCACTGAAGGAGCTGCTCAGTGCTGTCACAGTCTGCTGCATGGGGTGGGAGATGTTGTCCATCAGGGATGACAGCTTAGCCGCCGTTCTCCTGTCACTCACCACCTCCACTGGGTCCAGAGGGCATCCTAGAACAGAGCTGGCCCAGCCCTACTGTCACAGTTCAGCGTTGTTTGTCCGTCGCTTCTCCCGCCCTGATCTCTGTCCTTCAGTCCAGCGTCAGTAATGGAAATGAACCAACGGGCTGTCCGGCTCACAGCGGGTAATCTGCCTGGTATGCCAGATTACCCGTCCGGTGCCGGGAGGCAGATGGCTTGAGTGGAGGCTGACGGAGAGGCGAGTTTCCTAAAAGAGATCAGCCTTGCGATGTTACCGCACTTCACTGAGGCTCAGCCTTCAGCAGGTGTTTTGGAGACTGCTGATCAGAATTATTGATGGTTACAGATGTAAAAAGGACCCCGTGGGTCTCTGTGTCACAGTGTACTGTAATCCAGATGTGACAGTAGCGAAGGTGTCCAGCAGGTGTGGCTGTGGAGCTGCTGTCAGGTGCAGTTCTGCCTCAGCGTCTCAGGCCCTCACAAACACTGTAGCTCCCTAACAACTGAAACCATGTTGTGGACTCAGCTAAACTACATTTATTGTTTTTATTTGTTAATTTGATAAAATTCCTTTATGGGCGTGTTTATTGTGTTCGAATATCTTTGCTGCGTTTTATAAATCTGGCGTTTGTCATAAATACAGTGATATTGGAAAAAAGACAAACGAATGAAAAGCCACTCTGGAAACCTGCTGAAGCTGAAGCTCAAAATGAAGACTAGTAAGAAAATAGGGGGCGGGGCTTTATTCATGTTTGAATGCCTTTGAGACTCCGAACGTTTATTTCAGTTTTTCTTTGCTGACTCTGCAGACTGTAATGGAGGCTCCGGCCAGCAGGGGGCAGCAGGTGGTTTTACCTGAAGTCATTACAGCTGAAGTTCTGTGTCTGTGAATGATGCATGCTGGGAAAACGGACCGAGAGCCGCTGTGACATCGGCACAGGTGAGCGGGTGGGTGGGATTCTGGGACGTGCTCAGACTGAGGTGTGTCACATGACCCTGCTGCTCTACAGGGTCCACCTCACTCAGCTGAGAGCAGGAAACGAAGCAGGAGCCGGGGAGTCTGCTCGTCCTCAGTGTTTACATGAAACTAATAATACGATTGTCAATAATCAATGAACCAATGTCTCTGACTCCTCTTAAATCTGACTTCTTTAAAGTTCACCCAAAAACACTAAACCTCCACCGTCAAATGTCGCTCTGCCTGGAAGTGATGTAATAAAAGGCCGACTGAAGCCCCTCCCACAGCAGTCTGTTCACAGAGGGGAAGGGCCGTGACAAAACCGGACTGAAGCGTACTCTGATCCAGGCGGCACGTGGCGTCCACGACTTCCACGGAGTCCACGGCTACAATCTAACCATCAGTTTGTGTTCTTGCAGGTGGCTCTGCTCTCTGATTTGATCCTGAGCTGTGATGTCATCGGTGGCGCCTCAGCCACAAAGGTGAGGTTTGATGTGAGTGTGTGGTGATGTCGCAGGGTGGGCGGGTCTTCTGGGAGATGATGTGAACAAAAGGCCGAATTGTAGCGCCCCCGCCAGGCAGTGTGTTCTCAGAGCGGGGCGCCGTGACAAAGATCGACCGAAGCGTTCGTCTGATCCCAGAACGTCACGTGACCAGACAGCTGACTGAGCAGGTTGGGTCACGTGACCGTGACAGTTTTATTCCCATGTTCAGCAAACTTCCTGTTTTTCTTCTTCTGCAGTTTCCTGACGGCGTCCTGTGTGAGCGCGGTGTCGGGATGGTCTGTGGCTGTGCCGCAGTAAAGAGGAGGAGTTCTGATCACGCGCCTCTGCGGTCTGTGAGCTCTGATCCAGACTCTCCCAGCTGTGTCGTTCCAGCCAGTTTGGGACAATTTGTTTTTAATTTGCTGTTTAAATGTTTTTAAACAGCCAAATGCAGCAAATCTCACACTGATCAAAACTCTGCAAACTAATGTTCAGTATATTTATTTATGCATGGGAATGAAAAAACTGGAAATAAATTATTAAATATATGAATGATTAAATTACAGTTCTATTAATTTGACACACTTGTTCAAATTTAAATAGACTGGCGAGGAAATGATTAAGACGTAAACCTGAGGGGGGCTAAATAAGTATAAACATAAGTGTATACTTCTGCCTACTGCTTTTCAAACAGCTGAATGGATGATGTTATGGACTGTTGGTGAATGTATATGTTCGAAATAAAAATGAACTGAACATTGAATAAATTACTGATTTACAATTTAAATTCATGACACATTTAAAAGATTATTTAATGATGTGTTTGATTCATTTTGGGACTCCTGGCCCTCCATATTAAATGGTTATGGGAGATGCCCCCAAGGGTGGTGGAGAATGACCGAGCTAAGATCCTGTGGGACTTCCAGATACAGACGGACAAAATGGTGGTGGCTAACCAACCGGACATAGTGGTGGTAGACAAACAGAAGAAGACGGCCGTAGTGATCGATGTAGCGGTTCCGAATGACAGCAATATCAGGAAGAAGGAACACGAGAAGCTGGAGAAATACCAAGGGCTCAGAGAAGAGCTCGAGAGGATGTGGAGGGTGAAGGTAACGGTGGTCCCCGTGGTAATCGGAGCACTAGGTGCGGTGACTCCCAAGCTAGGCGAGTGGCTCCAGCAGATCCCGGGAACAACATCGGAGATCTCTGTCCAGAAGAGCGCAGTCCTGGGAACAGCTAAGATACTGCGCAGGACCCTCAAGCTCCCAGGCCTCTGGTAGAGGACCCGAGCTTGAAGGATAAACCGCCCGCAGGGGCGTGCTGGGTGTAATTATGTATATCTGTATCTCATATATACAGTGTTGGTCAAGTTACTTGAAAAAAGTAATTAGTTACTAATTATTAATTACTTCTTCAAGAATGTAATCCTGTTACTTTCCTGATTACTTACTTTCAAAAGTAATTAGTTACATTAATACTTAGTTACTTTTAAAAAACATGATGCTCCACCTGAATATGTAGTAAAGCAACAGACCCTTCAGCCCAGTTCTATTTATTCTGCATAATCATCATATAAAAGTCTCTTTTTAAAACTTGTTTTACTCTGTTAACTTGATGCATCCAGCAAAAACTAAATTCTGACTGAAGAAGCGTGTTTAACACTGAAACCTGTGTTCTGCATATTCCAGCATAAAATAAAATCATGTGTTTTGGAACCTGCTCTGTCAAACAGATGCAAGTAAAACAGAAGAAATGAATGAAATCAAAGACTCAGCAGCTCTTAAATCTATTGTCAGCTGTTTAGCAGGAGTGGGGCGGGTGGAGGTCTGCCCACAGCGGTCATGTCAGTGGGAGGATCCGTGGGTTTCTCTGTGAATGTCACATTCCCGTGGCAGCGTGCTCGCTGCTCGCTCAGATTAGAAGTTTAATTTTTTGCTGTAGAAAGAAGTTTTCTTCCCACAGAGTGAACAGCGGACGCTGTTTCTGTTATTTTTACGGAATCAAACTCAAAGTAATGTGATTACTTCCACGCTTTAAACGCTGCATGGTCGTACATCAGTGAGCCAGGCTGTCGTTCCCACATCCCTCAAATCATTCCTGTACCGAAGAAGTCGTCTCACTCCTGCTTTAACGACTACCGTCCGGTCGCACTCGCCTCCATCACTATATACAGAAAATGTAATATTTCTTTCCATTGCTTTGCCAATGACATTCAAATATATTTCCCTTTGAGCTTGAATGTCACAGATCCATTGCACACATTGTTTAATTGTCTTCATGATGTCAGAGACTGGTAATCTCAAAACTCTCTCACTTTGAATGAGAGTAAAGCTGAAGTTATTGTCTTTGGCAGCCATAAATCTACAGCCGTATCCCTCTGAACCAACTGATACCCTTGGCCCTCTGCTAGCTACCTCTCTAGAGACTCAGGGGGACTCTTGGATAGCTCCTTCAAATGAGAGAAAGAAGTATCCACAGTGGTTAAATCAAGTTTCTATCAGCTATGTCAGATTTCTAAAGCCAAGCCTTTGCTTTCCCCCAAGGACCTTGAGAAGCTGATTCGTGCATTCGTTACTTCGAGACTAGACTGCTGTAACTCCCTTTTTTGGCCTCCGTCACTCCTCTCTCTACCGTTTGCATTAGTACAGAACGCTGCTGCACGCCTTTTATCAGCTGCCAGAATGCATGATCACATGACTCCGGTTTTAGCACTAAGATCCTCTAATCAGATGCTCTTAATGCAGCCTAAGTCTAGGCTGAAACAGAGGTGATCGTGCCTTTGCTATTGCAGCACCTAGACTGTGGAACAATCTTACTGCCATTCGCTCTTCTGAGTCTATTCAGTCTTTTAAAGACTCTTCTTTTTACTTTGGCCTTGACTTAAGTTAGTTGATCATCATTTGGCAAGCTGCTATGTTTGTGTTGGAGGTTATGTATGGGAATCTCAGGAGCAGGGCCACGCCTCCAAACGTGCTCCTTCCGGTTGTCATCTATATAGGTGCCCCCAGTTCTGCAAGCTGTGCACCTCCCTCCTTGTTCTCAATTCTGTAACACGGGGATCTGCCAGGCCCAGGAGCCGTCGCCAGTCCCCATCGAGGCCTTCCCCAAACCGCAGCTCAAAGCATTACCTACTAAAACGCTGTCAAACCTAAAATGAGGGCGTGGGCCCAGCGAGTGAAATGGTAAATTATTTTACTCGCTCTTAGTTTGTGAAGCACTTTGATCGACATTGTTTTTAAATGTGCTGTATAAATACATTTTGATTTGCTCGCATGAAGCTTTGAACGGTTAAGACATCTCTTCCCTCCGACCTGGACCCGTTTCAGTACTGACTGCACACCATCACACAGCTCCAACCTTTTCATCAAGTTTGCAGCCGACACAGCTGTGGTAGGTCACATCAGCAACAACGATGAGGCCTACTACAGGACTGAAGTTAAACATCTGGCCAAGTGGTTCAGCAACAACAACCTGTCCCTGAATGTGGAGAAGACTAAGGAGATCATCACAGACTGCAGGAGAACTCACACTCTGCACACCCCACTAACCATCAATGGTGTTGCTGTGGAGGGTAGGCAGCACCAAGTTCCTGCACATCTCTCCTGGTCAGCAAAGCCCAACAGCGACTCTACTTCCTCTGCAAACTGAGGACAGCGAGAGCATCAACCTCCACTATGAGCAGCTTCTACAGAGGCACCGTGGAGAGCATCCTCCCAGCTGCATCACTGTGTGGTGTGGCTCCTGGGTGCTGCTGGAAACAGCTACGACGGGTAGTGAGAGCAGCAGAGAGGCTCGTGGGTACCTCTGTTCCCTCCCTCCAGGACATCTACTGCACCCGTCTCACCTGAAAGCTCTCTGCATCACAGGTGACTCCACCCATCCGTCCAACAGCTTCTTCAGTTTGCTGCCATCAGGAAGGAGACTGAAGAGCCTCGAGGCCAGAACCAGCAGACTGAGAGACAGCTTCATCCATCAGGCTGTCAGGATGCTGAACTCTCTCTCACACCACCTCCAGACCTGCATCCACCTCTCCCCTCTGAACCCCCTCGGCATACAAAACTCTGAACCTCCACCATCGCCCTTTCACTGGCGGGGAGCAGATCGATCAAACCTTCGGCCGGTGGATCCGGTTGTCGTGGAAGTCTCTGACCCAGCTCCCGGCAAATAAGACCTTTATTTTGAAGGATTTCTTTTCATTGGATTTCCTCTGTCTAACTGAAACCTGCACATCACCCGGTGAGTTAAGCAGCTTTTCTGAACTGCCAGCTGCCGGCTGTGCATCTTTTAGTGCTCTGAGAGCTTCTTGTCGCAGCGGAGGGTTAGCTGCTGTTTTTAAAGCCCACTTCAACCTTAAGCAGCGATCCTCATCGACATGCACCAGCTTTCAGCTCTGTTTCTGTGAACTCCCCTTCGCTGCTGTGTGCAGTAGTTTACCGGCGTCTTAGATATAATAAGGATTTTTTATCTGAGTGACTTCCTAGCTGACTGTGCATCACGATACGACCAGATCCTGCTGCTCAGTGATTTTAATATCCACCTGTGTTACCCAGAGAAGCTCCTGGGACTTAGTGAACTCTTTTAATCTCATTCAGCTCGTTATGGGTGCCACATTATCTTCGGTGTTATCATATCATCTGTCTGTAACTTACACGTCGAGGATGCTGTATTCTCTGACCAAGTTGCTGCTCATAGTCCTGCTGTTAAACGGGTTCCACCTGTGCGACGCCGTCGTGCCTTCGGCTCAGATACTGCTGAGCATTTTTCTACACAGGACATATGAAGGCCCTCCTCAGATGTACTGTTTGATTGGTCACGATGAACCTGAGTCCAAAGAGGACGTACCTACTGCTGTGATTACTGCGAGGTTCAGTGTGAACTCGGGTTTCTGCTAAATGAAGTCATGTATTGATCCTGCTGAGCTCACCTTACTCTGCTAACAAGCAACAGATGAAGCTTTGACACACGACACAGAGAGATTTCAGATGCTAAACAGACTTTATTGAAAGAGAGACAATAAACAGAATAAAGTGATTCACAGCTAATCAATCAGATTGGTTGGAGGATCAATGATCGCTGGTGCAGACAAACCTCTGAGATCACAGTGATTGAACATCATTAAAGAAAAAAAACATCATCAGACCTCTGGGTTTCTGCTCAGTGAGCGTGCTCACTTCTTTTACCATGACCGCTCTCACTGATGATAGCACAGGTAGACGGGAGAAGCTCCTGGGTTGCCTGTGTTGAGGTTTTCTGGGTTCACTTTGAGCCCGTCATTGTCATACGCCTGCTTAGCTGCTGGGTCGGCGAGCACGGTGACGGCCTTGATGGGAGCGCTGCCGCTGTCTTTCTTGTACCACAGGAACACCTCCTTTCCCTCGGTGCCCTCGTTCAGATCCTGGTTCACGATTTCATAGCCTTGGTCTTGGAGGCTCTTTTGCTTGACATCACTGGAGGAGATTTCCAGCTCACTGATGGCGTCCTTGGGGTCTGTGGTTTGACGGTACCAGATGAAGATGTAGGGCCCTCCTGCTCCCCTGTTGGTGTCTTCATCCACCCGGATGTAGCCATCATTGAAGTTGTCGTCATCTTCCTCAAATTTAGCAGTGGCCCTGATGTCACAGATGTAGGTGGGGTTCTCTCTCTTCAACCACAGATAGATCCAGTTTCCTCCAGCACCACGGTTCAGGTCACAGGCCAGTCTCTCCCAGCCCAGTTTATACTTGTAGGGTTCATCTCCTGCTTGTACAGAGACATCGAGTT